GAAGTAGAATTAGAACGCAGTAACTTTACATCCGGGTCCTGAAAACACACCACTAGTTTGTTTTTATTTTTTAAAAAAATTGAGACCTTAAAAAATATTTTAGAATGTCACAGTCACAGAGAGGGCGTTGGGATGTATTATTTAAATATAATTAAAGTTAAATGTTGATTTTGGTCCCTCAACTATATAGAGTTACATTTTTTTGGTTTTTCAACTATTTTTTATACTTTTTTTATCCCTCAACTCTAAGAACTACATAATTTTGATCATTTTGTCAATTTAGGCTGTTAATTTCATCCATGTGGCATTTTTTATATTTTTTTTGATAATGTGGAGAAAACCTAAAAAGGTGTTGATATAGACAAAATATTATGGCATGTTATATTCACGCGAATCAAATGCTCCAAAACCTCTCAAATGGATCCCACATTGTCTACAAAGAACCAATAAAGGGGTTAAATGTTTTGTGAAGCCTAAAATGCTCTCTTATCTCCACTCTATCTGCAAAATCGATCTTAACTCATATCTTCTTCTTCTCTGAATGCTCTCTTATCTCCACTCCGTCAAATTAACTCCTCAATAAACAATGTCAATCAAACCTTAATCAAATTCCAACATAAATGCAATCAAATTGCAAATCAACTCTCAAATTTATCAATAATTGGTAATGGAAATCGAAAGAAGAATGAGAAAATATGGTAAGCTTGACAAACTCAGCTCTAAAGAAGAATCGAAATCAACATAACCTAGTTCTAAACCCAACAGCTAGGTTTCTTCAAATCTAGTAAAGCTGGGTTTTGTTGAAACTAGTCGATTTGGGTTCCATCGAACCCAGCTGCTGGGTTTTATGGAACCCAACAAAGCTAGGTTTTGTTGAACCAACAAAGCTGGGTTTTGTTGAACCTAGTAGCTGGATTCAATGGAACCCACAAATCTGGGTTCGATGGACACAGAACCCAGTTGCTGGGTTCTGTTCCACCGAGCTAGAGGTAGGAAAGAGAAAGAAAGAGAAAGAAAGAGAAAGAAAGAAGGGGAAGAAGATGGATCAAGAGGGTGAAGGCTAATAATGTAATTTTGTTTGTTTTCATTTCTTGTTATTAAAATATAAATATTCAATTGATGTGGCATTTTTATTTATCCATGTAACATAGTTGTAAAATATGTTATTGCCACTCATCAAAAGAATTAAAAGAAAATGTCATATGGAATTATTTAACAATCACGTCATGCTTATTTGACGGAGGGACCAAAATTATGCAATCTTTAGATTTGAGGGATCAAAAATACAAAAAATAGTTGAGGGACTAAAATTATGAATGTTATAAAGTTGAGGGACCAAAATTAGCATTTAACCTATAATTAACCATTAGTTGATATTTTATAATTAATTATTATTATTATTTATAATTAAAAATGTTCATATCATTTAATTAGAATTAATAATTTATAACTGTTAATTAAATTTTGAATCAAACACCTCCATAATTAAAATGTCAATGGAAAATTTTAAATATCGTTTAATAAATTAACAAGTAAATTACTTATATTCAATTTAATTATTAGTAGTATTTAATTTATTTTAACATAGTACTCCAGCTACTTATGTCAATATTTAAGAAAAAAATTCAAGTATATTTTTAAAAAATAAAAATAAAGAGTAGTTCATCCCTTGAATTGAATATATATAATAAGATTGTATGATGATGTCAACTTTGGAGAATATTTGGTTTAATAAATTACTGTTTTTAGGCTAATCATGAAATTATAGTCTCATCAAACAAAATATTTGTTTTCTTTTTTTATTTTAAATTGTACAATAAAAACAATAATTTCTCATTTATCTATCCTTTACTCACATGCTATATAGTTTAATTTTTTTTTTTTTGGGTAAAATGTAAATTTTTATTCCCAATAATAAGTATACAAAGTAGTACTAATAATAAAGGCCGCTCCCAAATAAGATTTGTGCAAAAGAATGAATAGATAATCGACTAATAGAACTCAATTCTAAATTATAGCTTCAAACTCCCATTGTATTGTAATCAGTTGAGACATTGACGATACTTTTGGCCTTGCAAAACTCAAAATTTTATCTCGTACATTAGCAATAATCAATTGTACAATCTTAGATTTAAAATGAAACAATAATTTATGTATATGCCTATTGCGTTGAAACAAAATATGGTAAATTATAGCATTCCAGGCCAACTTGATAAGGGAATTTTAAAGAGCCTTTTTCTTGGTTTTCTTTTTCATCCATTGCACTTGTGGCATCAAAGATGTAACAAATTGAATGCTAACACTCTCTGATATCTCTCTCCAAACACTAGTAGAGAAAGAACATGCAAAGAAAAGATGATCCTTGTCTCACTTGCCTTGTTGCATGGCATACAGACATCACTGATCTAAGCTAACCACTTCTTTTGCATGGAGTATGTGGACAGCCTATCAAGTAAAGTTAGCCACGTCACAAAACTATGTCGTGGTATAGAGTTAAAACTTAAGACCTACCTCAAGAAAGAAGGCCCTTATCCGAAAAGAAATTAACACTCAGCTCACTTGAATTATTAACAATAGACTAGCATCTTTGATTTTTTTTTTTTTTCTTGGTAAAAATTACCTCTTTGTAATATGGTTGGTAGAATGCTCTAGATTTCTAAACCAACGTTTACGTATTTCAGAACTAATTTATTTCTATTTTTCCGTCCCAAAAGCCATAACTCCAAAAATATGTCCTTGATTCTTTTATTACTTCATCTTGCCTTAGGAACAAAGTTAGTGCTTGTTTGATTTTGATCACAACACAGAATTAGAAGACTTTAGTAGGAGTGAAGGAGTTAGGAACCCAAACCAATAGACCAAGCCCAACTCACAAAGCAAACCCAACTGGCGGATAGAAACGTGACCATTCGTGCGAAAACCAATAAACAAATCAGTCTGTAACTTTTGTCTGAAGGACCGACCAAATCTACTGTCCTCTTTGTTCGGTGTAACATTTTCTCTTTTTCACCTTTTTTATATTTCTTTCTTTTTAAAGATCCTTCATGCTACTTCTACTTACATTGTCTTAGAAATTCCGGAGGAATTACTTGTCTTTTTCTCAAACTCACTTGCAAAAATCTTCTTTCTTCTTCTTCCCCAACAAACTGACCGAGGTACACTCTTTTTCACCAGTTTTTCATCTTTTGTCTCTGCATTTGGGGATATTTGGATTAGGGTTTTTTTGATTTGGGGATTTTGTTTGGGTTGATTTGGGGGATTAGGGTTTTTTCTGGCTAAAAGGAAGCCTAAACAAGATGCAGCAGCCACCGCAAATGATTCCTGTGATGCCCTCGTTTCCACCCACTAATATCACCACCGAGCAGATTCAAAAGGTATCAGCTTTCTTCCTTTTCAACTATCTATTTATATCTATCGGCCTTATATAATGTGTTTAACGCTGTTAGTTTCTTTTATGGCCGTTTACTAGTTTCGAATGATTGTGTTGTTCAACTTTAGCAGATTAATAAATTGATCCATGTGTTAAATGGGTGAGAAATCTAGGGTAAGTTTTGGGGTTCAGTGGGCAAAAGTTCTCATTTTGATTAGGTAAGAGAAGCTCTGTCTATGTATGATTGGATACAGCTTCTGTGTTAAGCTTTCAATGAATTGATTGTGCCCATATGGGTTGTATTTTGAGAATTTTATAAGAATGGTAATCAAAGTCTTTATGGTTTTTTAACACTTTTATGATGACAGGGGAGATTATTTCCAAATTAGAGGGTCTGTTTGTTATTTTGTTAGGATCTCTAATCTGGTGAGAACAGTACCCATGATTTTGGCCTAATGAAGTCTAAAAAATATGCCAATACAACCATCTGAATTGACTTGTTTAGAATTGAGTTACGTTTTCTGTTTTTGTCTGAAATAAGTTTCTTGAAAGTAAATTGACTTCTTTTGGGATTTTTTTTTTTTACCTTATAGAATTTATTATATCTGCACGCAACTTTACAAAACATGTCATGGTGAATAGTTGGAGGAGATGATCATCTCATACCTGTTTTAAAGACTGGTTTTGCAGTCTTTTTGGCATATTAAGATGAAGACAAAGGTCTACATCTGGCTACCAATTTGTCCGCATATACTTCTGGGTTCCTATTACAGTCTCATTATTATGACACGTGCCGAGTTCCGACAGCTTTATGCATGTTATTCTTGATGATAGTGAAAAAGGTTTTTAGAAGATATAATTTTCCTAATTTGGATAGATTTTTTTCTATCACCATGTTTAGAAGTGGATTCTAGCCAGATAACTAGGGTTTTTTAAGCAGTCCACATGGTTAAAAGCAAATGCTTTAGGCGATTGCAGCCCTTCAACAAAGCCCTTTATAGAGTATCTATTAGGCTAATGCCATCCCTTAAGTAGGCCAAGTGTCTGTCTTTTAGTTCATTGCAAGAGATGAATTAATCAACAATGGCCACTTTTCAGTGATGTCCTTGGAGAAGTCCTGATTGTTATCGTGTTTGGAGGTTATATTCCCAAGCTTGGAGCTTGGTAGATAATGGAGACTGGGTGGTAGCTGAGATCTTCCTGTTTCCGGTGAAGGCACGTGTTCCTTTATTTGAAAGTTAAAGATCTCCATGGAAAGAAGCCTGTAAAATCTTTATGCAGTAATAATAACAAGAAAATAAGTTCTTGGCCTTGTGCCAGTTCCATCCCAGTCTAACTGTAAGGAGTTGCAAGATCATCAATTTACATAGTAGAGATTAAGCAGTAATGACATTAGTGGTTTTTAGGGGGATTATGCTTGTGATCATCAATCCATGTTGCTTGTATTTCAATAGTTTAACTACAGCGAAGTTAGTAGGCTGTTGACTTTTCTCTAGAAGGAAAGGTAGTAGAACAGCGAGCAACTTTCTGTTGCATGGGTAACAATAACATTGTCTGGGGTCAAATCCTCTTTGGGATTGAGAACAATTTTTGAAGCATCTATATGCAAGCTTTTAAAATTTGTTGGATATGGTTATAATGACTCTAAATAAATAGATTGGTGCCAGTGTTCCATATGTCTGTAGTTTTGCTTTTCTTTTCCCTGTTTGCACGTTGCAGCACAATTTTATCAAAGCATGTAATGTTACCTTCCATGTTAGATTTTAATTCACTATGTGGTTAGAATGAATCTATATACATAGATTGTGCCAGTGTTCCTTATGTCTGTAGTTTTGCTTCCCTTTTTTCTGTTTGTACTTTGCAGCACAATTTTGGCAAAGAAGCATGTAATGTTACCTTCATTTTAGATTGCAATTCAACTTTCCTTATGCTTTTTTTTTATTATTATTATTGCAGTATCTAGATGAGAACAAGAAGTTGATTTTGGCAATTTTGGACAATCAGAACCTTGGAAAACTTCCTGAATGCGCACAGTAAGTGATGTTTTGACCTCTGCCCTCTTTCCTTTTGTTCATTATTGTGTCTATGTTAATTCATGAAGTCATGCATAGGTGTGTCAGGAGTTGGACATGGACATGAATTTCTAGACGTATTATCATATGTACATCTTCTGTTGTTATGATGGTTGATTGTTTGAGATTGCCTTTCATTCATGTTGCAGACCTAAAAGAAAATAATCCAATCCTATCACCATGAAATCATAAATATTTCACATTTTTGTTGGATTAAATTTATGTGCTTAGGAGCTAAGTTCAACAAAATTTTTCCTCTTGTTGCCATGGTAGGGATTTCTATACTGGCTATTCAGGTATTACAACCTGCAAAATGTTCTTGCAGTCTAAATGAGTTGGGTATCAAGATTGGTATTGGATTGAGAATTTGAGATAATAGGAACCAAAATGGTTATTATCAATGTATGAAAGTCTGCAATTTGATAACTGAATATTTTATACTCAAATGTTGTTATTTTATCATATATATATATATATATATACATATATAAAGAGAGAGAGAAGATCTTCTTACATACAATTTTACCCAAAATCATAGCTATTTATTTTTCACCATGAGTGGCTGAGATTCATTACAACTGTTTAGATGAAAAGACAATTAACTTTAAAAAATTAGTATAAAAGGTGGATAATTCTCAATCATTCATGGTGGAGAGATGAATGATTAGGATTTTGTGTAACTTAATCCTAACGACACACCACACACCATTATGTATCAGTCATGAATCTTCATATGCAAACATGGTCGCTTGCTTGATATTTGGGCAGCAAAACATATAAGATTTTTATGATTTAGGTATCAAGCTCAGCTGCAAAAGAATTTGATGTATTTGGCTGCAATTGCTGATGCCCAACCACAGACAGCACCAACAATGCCTCCTCAGGTAGGTACTAGCTACTAGCTAGTCAACGAGACTAGTTCACGATTCTTACGCATCTTGCTCATATGTTTACAAAAACTGCAGATCGCCCCACATCCTGGAATGCAACCAGGATATTTCATGCAACATCCTCAGGCTGCAGCACTGGCTCAGCAACCTGGCCTTTTCCCCCCAAAGATGCCCATGCAATTCAATAACCCACATCAAATACAAGATCCGCAGCAACATCTGCACCAGCAACATCAAGCCATCCAAGGACAAATGGGGATCAGACCTGGAGGGCCAACTAATGGCATGCACCCAATGCATGCTGACCCAACTCTTGGAGGGGGCAGTGGTGGTCCCTCGCTAGCTACTGGTCCAAATGACTTACGTGGTGGAAACAAGCAAGATGGCAGTGATGCAGGCGCTGATGGCCAGGGCAACTCTGGTGTTGGTCATGGCGGTGATGGAACAGACGAGGCAAAGTGACTCTCCTGACAAGTGATTTTAATTTTATAACTGTTTCTGTGGATAGTAGGCTTTTCTTAAAGTAGGACTGTTGTTGTTTTTGTGATAATTTGATAGAACGTTGGTAACTTTGAAATTTCTTGTTGCCATTTAATATTCCCAGTTTAGGTAGGTAACGTATGTTATGGTCCCCCGCATGCCAATGGATTCGTGCAAACTTAGGAGCAGTTAGGTTGGACGGTTTTTTGTTGTGAAAGGTTGAGGTTTAAAGCATGCGCTCGAATCTTTCATGTCCGTCATCTTGTAATAGTAACTGATAAATGCATTCAGTTTGTCCTTGTGACCCAGTTGAAGCTTTTCTTCATTTCTGGTAGATGCTTAGATACAAGTGTTTGTTGTCATGATTAGCTGCAAATGTGGACTGTTATATGTGAAATGTTCATGAATGCGGCTTCTGCATTCCAGCTGCTATGGGGTTGCCAATTCAACAACTTCCATCGTGAACATCATTTGTTAAATCAAACCAAGAAAGGAAGAAGGAAAAAATCTTATTTTTGACTAGACATTTTTAAAGGGGATGGAGGGAAGTCATTTATTTACATTATTCTTCCTTTTAATTATTTTATTTATTTAAATAAAGTCAATAGAGTGAGCGTGGTTTGGTTTTAGTTATAATTCAAATTTTATTATTTGTTAATTAAAATTTTGGATTTTAAATTTTAATAATCATTAATTAAATTGAGAAAAACAAGTTTTATCAGTTTTAGTTACACTTTTTAAAGTAATTATTCGGGAAGGTTTTCGTTTTAATTAAAAATTTATTTTTATATTTTTAGTATTTTTTGAATTTTTAACTATTATTTTATTAATTTCCAGCACTAAAAAATTAAAAATTATCTAGATACATAAATAATTTTGTGAAAAGTGGCTATAAAACTTTTAAAAAATTTAAAAACCATTAAAAATTTATATAAAAGGTTTTTAGGTTGAATTTTTCAATTATATTTACTCTAATCATTAGCTTTTTATTTTTAAACTAAACAATTAAAACCCAAACTAATTAAAATTGATTTAGTTTACTTTTTTTTTTTTTTTGATCAGTGAAAAATTGGGGGATAGGGGAGTAGGTATAATATTGTTGCAGCAGTGGCAAGTAGAACCCTTGGCATAGACGCCAAAGGATGATGCACTTCCAACGCAGCCGAAGTCTCAAGTGCGATTTAGTTTACTTTTTAGTTAAACAAACTTAAAATCCAATCTAAACCTATCTATCATTTATAAATTCGTTAATTTTCAAATTTTTTTCAATGGTGGATTTTTTGGCCCACCCCTAAAATGAGCACGTGAAAGTTATGGTCCTTCTAGATATTCATGTTGTCATTTAATCCCAAAAAATAAAATTAAAAAAAAAAAAAACAAAAATATGATTATCTGTTACTAAAAGTTCTTGAATTGTCTCTTTCTTATGTTCTCTCTCTCTATATATATATTTTAAACAACCACAATTTAGGAATAAAAAGATGAAATTTTTTTAACATAACAATATTATATTTTAAATTTTTATCCTCATTAAATTATTAAACACACTAGCCCATAAAACCTGAAGTGATTCTTACATTCTATATTGTTTTTTTTTTTTTTTTTCCTTTTTAAAGTAGGCAATGGTCTTACATTCTATATCGTTATTCCCCACGTTTCCATTCTAAATCAGAGCATAAAAGGCATGTGCCACGTGCTTAAAATGAGGTTCATGAACTGGATAAAAAATTCATGGTATCTGTTATAAAGAAAAGTCCTTTGCATTCCCATACCGTAGACTTGCAGTATCATAATCAAGAGGAGTCCTCTTCACCTAAAACTCTTGCTTCATGTCCCATATGATTTCCTATTGGTTAAATTTCTCTTGGTGGGGCTCCGGAATTTTGTTTTTGTCTTTTAACATGGGGAAATTTTTTGGCGATTAGCCATCTTTCTTTAGCCATCCGCCCCCTAAAAAGTATGGGCACCGGTGTTTAGATTGATTTTGATCTTTTGTTTTTTTTTTGGGTTTCCCATCTGGTATCCGGGGCTTTGCCCTGATTACTCCGGATTCGACCAACTGTGACGCACCAGAATGATAAGTGAGTCTCCCAACGAAAGCTGCTGCATACACAAGGTTTCAAACTCGAGATCTTGCTTAAGTTGGAACAAGCCGCTTGTCACTTGATCCAACCCCTCGTTGGTTTTGATCTTTTGTTTTTGTTTATATATATATATAATAAAAATATAAATATAAAATTAAAGTGTGCCACATCACTGATAATAATATTAATTACTAAATATAAAAAAATTAAAATTAAAATCATAACAAACTGAGCCAATCAGATTTTATTGTGCTGCATCACTCAGTAATCAACATTTGATAATGATGGCAATTTGCAGTTAAAACGAAATTTATTGATTGAAAAACCAAAAATCAATGTCCACCTCATCAATCCATTTAGGTACAGGCCTCAACGGAATTATTTGTCTTAATTAATTACCCACTTGAAAGTGACACGTTTCCGCTTTTTCTGATTTTAGTGCACGATTTATTTGCTTTTTGAGTCAAGGGGTTTTCTCATATGCGCACTGGGTCTAGACTTGTGTTAAGGTATAATAATTATAATTTTTTATATTAATTAGTCTTTAAAATAAAAATTAATTTTTATTTAAATAATTATTTAATTAAAATAATTCACGTGACATTAATAATATAATTATTAATAACGTTTAAATGTGAAAATGAATAATAATTGCACTCTTAAATATATAAATTAAAAAAATTGTTAAAGTAAATTTTTTTTTTGTTTTAAAATAATTGTCTTTTTTTACTTTTTTTTTAATTAAAGATTTAAGAATTATATTTGTGTTTCTATACTATCTTTTAAAAAATAAAAGATAAAGATAGACCTTTTGTAATTAGATAATTTATTAAATAAACAAATAATAATAAGATTAAAGTACAAAAAAATATTTATTTATTTTAAAAAATAAAAAAAAATTAATTGAAAATAAATTTAAAATAAAAAATAATTATTATTTTGAGATAAAAAAGTACCAACTAATTGAAATAATTACTATATTATTACTACTTCTTAAAGTGCTAATGTTACTCCAAATATATAATTTTACTCTTTTATTCATGAGCATATATGAAATGTTAGTGATAATAATGTTTTCAAAAATTCATTAATTTAAATGAATATTAAATTAAAAATACAACTGCAATCTTATTACACCAATAATAAAATATCAAAAGTTTGAGTTATTTGAAACTCAATGTAAGTGTGTAAAGAGAAATCGCACTTTGTCCTAATAATTTATTTTTAAACTTAGAGTACAAAAAATTAAAATTGTTGATAGTTTTGACAAGATCAGAATTATTTATTATATAAATTTTTTTTGATAAAGTCAGAGTTATTTATTATATAATTTTTATGTTAAAATTTACATAAAATTACATAATAAATAATTTTGATCTTACTAAAATTATCAGACAATTATGAACTTTTCATTTTTTATTTTAAACTTTAATATTTAGATTGATTAATAAAATTTTTCCCCCTTTCCAATATTTCTCCGTGTTAAACGAAAAAAGTGTAGTGTGTAAAGAGCTAAAGAAGTAGGAGAGAAATAATAATATTTAATAGGGTATTAACAGCACTCTTGCTCCACCAAATTAGATAGATGTCTCAATTAACCCTACCTAATTAGCCCTATGAGCTAAGTAATGACGTTTTACAGTCAGTTCTTTTGTCAATGCATTGGCTGTGGCACCGGGTCCGTGCTCAACTCTTTACTGTGCGTTCCATTATTGTCTCTTTTCGATTGCGCATCGTTTTCTCCCCCTCCCCTCCACTTAATAGTTTCTTTCAACTTGACACCACAAAATCCAAAAAAGGGGTTCCCATATATCTTTGGCTAACAACGCAAAGCATTTCCTCCTCAATCATCAATCTGTCATTTCCTTTTAATCAATCACCACAATCAATTTAAAAAAGAAAAAAGTTCTTCTCTAAATGTGCAAGTTTAATGTTTTATGATTTAAATTATATTTTTAAATTTATA